TGTTTGTATGAAATCATCATTGTATTTCCATAGACTCTATAATTGTCATTTCTTTTGTGGAGTTAATTATTCTGAATTTATCAGTTGTTGTGTTTCTTAACTCCTTAAAGTCTAAGTTAAGTTCCTTCCAAATGAATGCACAAAGTAGATAGCTTTATCAAAAAACAAAGCAAAACAAAACAAAAAACCACGTTGCAATTGCACGCATAATTGCTACTTGTAAAGGCCACAGTAGAGACACAGTAGATTTCAGATGCATAATGAATCCTGAGCTAGAGTTGTTTCTATGAAGCTGCGATTATATTTGGAAGGTACTAAACAATTTAATAACATTTTCGAATGTGTTTTTTTTCTGAGAGCCACAGTGAGATTTAGTTTGACTGAGTTTTCTCAACTAAGCTGCCTAGCTGAATTAAAGCCAAATAAATATTTTTCATAAAAATGATTGAATTATTTGATTTTCCCCCAGATACTTGTATATTTGCTTGATGAGCATATTATTTACTCTTCATTTACTATCAAATTTATACTTGTGTATATTAATGTATAGCAGTCATGGTTTCCAGTTGTAGGGATTTGATAAGGTCTGAGACTAGTGAGCCCTGGGCCAATCCTCCCTCACCACCTCCTTGTGTTATTTCATTCTATGTTCATTTTTACCTTCATAGAAGAACCCAAGTAGGAATGTTTGTATTTTAATTGTTCATGGCATCATAGCTAAACTGATACTGCATAAGCAACACAGTTCTAGAATTTTCCATTGAATCCTTGAATCCTCTTCCCAAGCCTATATTCTCTCAGTTACATCTCAATTCTCTACTCTTTACTTTCAGTACTGAGACATTTCTGATTATTGGGGACAGACTGACCATCCATATACTAATAGGAAAACTCTGGATTAAATAGTTCTTTTTTAAAAAAAACGTGATATTTACGTTAGTATGTTTCAGTGTTTTGCCCACATGTATGTAAATGCACAGCATCCATGCTTTGTGACTGAGAAGGCCAGAAGATAGGGTCAGTCAGATTCACTGGATCTGAGGTTGCAGATGGTTCTGAACCATCATGTGGGTGCAGAGAACTGAACATGGATCCTCTGCAAAGATCAGCTCAGTGTTCTTATCTGGAGTCATCTCTCCTACCCAGATACATACTTCTTTATTTATTACTTACACTAAGGGCTGTTAGGATGCTTTTAAAGAGAAAATACAAAAAGAGAATTTATCATTTTGAAATTTTGAAATGTACCATTTTAAGTGTACATTTAAATGCCCGTATGTTTGTCCAGAACTTACAAGCCATCCCTGGAAACCCTCCTGTAACTGTTCATGATGCAGAACTGAGTCTCTCCACCTTGCTGCAGAACTTAGTCACTACACCTTGTAAAACTTAGCTCTCCATCTCCTATCCTCAAGGGCCCTCACAACAGTTCTACTTTGCCTTCATGCATATCATTTTCCTAGTTTTCTCATAGTGATTCATGTAGTATTTGCTTTATGAGTTGGGTCATTTGGCGTACTGCCATTTCTTCAAGGTTCATCCATGCTGTGGCATGTATCGATATTTCTTTCTCTTGAAAACTAAATAAAATGTAATATATTTAAACATATAGCACATTACATTCATCTATTATTCTGTTAATGATCACTTTACTTCATCTTTTGGCTATTGTAAATAATGTAGCTTTATAAATCACGAGTGTGCAAACATATGTTTAAGGGTCTTTTTCTTTTTCTTTACTATTTTTTATCCACATCTAGAAGTGCAGTTGTTGACCTTTTGGAAATTCCATGTCTTAACAATTCTCATTTTTTACTGTGGCTGTACCACCTAAAATTCTGAGCAACAATACACAAAGATTTCAATATCGCCTGCCAACTTTGTTGGTTTCTACTTATTCTTCCTACTACATCCATGTGATATTTGTTTTCTAACCCATTTCTTGGTGATTTAGTAAAAGTTAGGCCAACTTGAATATTAATTAATATGCAACAATAATAGTGTAAACCCTGTCTAATATCATTTAGTCTGTTGAGGCTTGTCTAGATCAGAACTCCTGACTAGACATTCACATTTTGGTTCTGCCACTGCTTTACATTACGGAAATCATTTATTTTCCTTTATGTTTAAAATATGAAGATAACAATTGCTTGCTATGATGCTCGCAAAATTATTCTAATTAGTGAATAAGACAATCCATTTAAAGCGGCTATGAATACTTCAAAATGACAGGTTTAGTTGTGGGATTAACAGTTTATATTTTGATTTGGAATATATTTGTCAGACACGTTGTACTTTGTCACTTCTTAAATTTTGTTCCATAATTTATTTTGAAGTTTTCAAAACCGGGCTCAAAGTCAGTTATTACAGCTATTGGAGGCGGCTGTCATCACACCAAAGAGTGCTTGCCCTTGCCCTGTCCTTCTCTTTGCTTTGTCATTGCACTCTGTAAGGTACATTTTATCCTAAGTTGTGAGAGCTAGAGCCCTTCACTTGTTACAGTCTAAAGTTAGATGTTTTGCTAGGTTCCAGGACTTGTAAATGATAATGAAAAGGAAATTGGTTTAATAGTGCTCTCTTTCTCTTTCTCTCTCTCTCTCTCTCTCTCTCTCTCTCTCTCTCTCTCTCTCTCTCTCTCTCTCCCTCTCTCTCTCTCTCCCTCTCTCCCTCCCATCTTTCCTCTTTTCCTCCTCCCTTGCTCCTTCCACTTTCTGTATTTGCATGTAATCCCTAGATGTCTCTGAGTTTTCTTTGTCTTACAACCCAAATCCACTTTGCGAACAATTAATCAGAGAATGAAATGTCTTTGATTCATAGCATGGAGGAAAGACAGTTTCTTTCAGCGAACTGGAAAACATGCCTGTTAGTCATTTGGTTTATTAAAATCTTGAATTTTATTATTTAATTTAATAGGACATAAAATGGGGTGGCTGAATTACGCTACAAATTTTATCCTCTTTTGTATCAACATTGAGTTTTACTTTGATAAACTGTAAAATTTCTTTGCAAATTCTACTTCAGGATGGTTACTAAGATTCAACTGTTGGAAATTTTACCTGCAGTGCTGATTTTACTGCTAATATTGGTGTGTTTCTACTTAGTACTTTATGTCTATGTGAGAAATAGTAAATACATTTAAAAATATTAACAGGAGGAATCTATATAATGAGAACAGTAGGGATATTGCAATTGTAGGAAGCTCAAATATACAAATGCATTATTTTGATGGTTATCCAGCAGTACCACACCTAATACGATGTTGAAATCATCTGTGGCCCAATATTTTTTCAAGGTATTTAATCAGAAACTTTTTTTTTATCTATTGAGATTATGACTTAAATGATCTGTATTGGATCCTGGAGACTGTGGGTTTTCACTGCCGATTAGATGATGGAGTTTAGAAACCTGCTTCCTGGCAGCCTGTGGATTGTTTTCCCATGGAATCACTCCATTACCTTTGAGCTGCCTTGTACATTAGCCAGCTGTAGATGAGTGTATATAAGTGTATATATAATGCACAAATAAAAGTTTGCCTTCACCTTGGAGATTTTGGTACCTGCTCTACTTTCCTCGTAACAGAAATACAGTTAAGAGCAGGGAGGGGAGCTCAATTAAAAAAAAATCAATAAAAAAGAGCTAGTACACTGGAGGGTCTTCAGTTATCTACTAGGCTATAAGAATTTTCCATGTTTTTTTTGTTGTTATTAAGGATAGGAAGGTAAATTACCTTTTTATACCACTTGACAACATCAGAATGAACTCTCTGGGCTATTAGTACATAACTTACCTATAGGTTGCATTTTCCCTCTTCAATCAATGGCATTTGGAGATATTAGAAGCATTCATGGAAATAGTTGAAATGGTAAAACTGCCATTGAAAAATAGGTGTGTGATGCTCTTGTATAAGACATTTAAAAAGCATCTTTCATAGCTATATTCTATGTTACTCAGATAATGTGCATTGTATTTCATCAGCATCACCTGGTAGCTTAGTAAAAGGTAAAGAATTCCAAACTCACCACAGAACCTGTGGCCTGTAAGTCACATAATAACAATATCCCTACTTAAAAGTGCACAGTACTGCACACTACTAAATATACTCGGAAAAAAGTCTGTCTCTTCGCTGAACAAATGTTTGTAGTTTTTGGTCTTTGTTTTGGAAGTAGTGGAGTAGCTTAGACCAGAACAGTTTATTCTGCATTCTCTAAAACAAATTATCTAAAATCTTAATAAATGGCATTATTTTTACTTTTCTTGATCCTTTTAGATATTTGCTATCTATTCATGCTGATGAAAGTGCTATTTTTTTTTTTAGTAATAAAAGTGCGTCTGAGTTGACAGTCAATAAGCAGCTAAGACAGCACGTGGACCAAATAGTCCAGATCCCGATGATATAAATTCCGTAGTCTTACCCAACAGCGGAAACTGTTTGATTTTCAAAACAACATTCAAACTTTTGGACCATTATGGTGATGATAGGCAGAATAGACAGTTCTTATTTCAAGAAGAAAAGTAACTCCTGATCCTTTGATAAAATATGCCTATGTAGACACATTTGTCTCTATCATAACAGCCCAGGGAGGCTGAAAGACTCACGGTGGTGGTTTATCTTGTAGGACTGGCTATGAATTGGAAAGTCCTACTTATTCCAGGCAATAGTTGAGTTAAAGCAATAATGACTCTCAGATGACAACCTTGGAGCCAGACAGAGAAGAGAGGATGTGAACTTAATCTTATGTTAAATAACCACATTCCCTATTGGAAAATAGCTAACGGTCCATGGGCTCTCTACCTTATTTTAGGTGAAGGAAGTCTGGGACAATTAAGGAAATATATTGATGTTGTTCTACTTCTCTATCCTCATCCAGATGCTACTGCTGACAGAGGGTGCCCTGAAAATTCTAAATATTCTGAACATTCTAAATCAAATTCGGGAAGTTCAATGAAGCCAGGTTTATGCTGAGTGCCATAAGTAATTTTTTTGTAATTTTTCTTTCTAGTGTGTATGTACAGAGAACCATCACTACATGAAATTGGAGAAAAGCAAGGACGTTCGAGGAAAAGTTCGGGAACACCCACCATGAATGGAGGCAAAGTTGTGAATCAAGACTCTACATAGCTGAAAACTCATCTTATGCTTCCCTCACCCTCTCCCTTCTCTTCCCTCCCCTTTCCCTGTTTTCTCCAATAAATTCACCCCAACAAGAGAAAAATAATAAAACGGCATCACAGGACTTAGTAGCTGAGATTCTGCACTCAAAATCTTCCTTTGTGTAGGACAAGAAAATTGAACCAAAGCTTGCCTGTTGCAATGTGGTAGATAATTCACATGCATAGCAATTATCTCACATAAAAGCAAAGAAAAAATAAATCAGGACTCCACAAATACTAAATTTAACTGTGTTGTTATTAACAGAGGGCTAATTGCAAATGAAGACACAAGGATAATGCAGACAAAATACAGTCACTGAATGGATGGAAAAGGTTTCTAGAAAGCCACTTAGAAGATGTTGTTGGACCTTAAATCCTTTTATGTTCTAGAGAATTCTGTGATGTGCAGTTTTGTTTCATGTTGTATTTTCTTTAGACTTCTGTAAATGATACACAATAACCTCCTGTTTTCAGGATATTCTCTCAATCCTAAAATTGAACTTGTCAAAATTATATTCTTCTATTGTCTATCAGACATATATCTGATGTCTATCAGTCAGGGGCCATTTAGTATGAAGAAAAGTTTTAAACATTATTCTTGATGTTGATAATATTTTTTTATTTTAGAAAATGAAAATCTTGTGTTGAGTTTAATCATATTAGCTGATTAAATTACTTTGTAAAGAGTTTCTCCTAAGGGAATATCGTATTTTTCTCCGGGTATTGATCTGGGATTTTATTATATTTTTTAGACATTTAGGGGAAAGGGTTTTATTGTATTTCTGAGGAGGTATAGAAGCCCGCTGCCATTGCTGTATCTGGTGAAGAAGCATTGGCTTCTAGCCTTTTCCATTCAGTCTTAGTGTTGATTTGTGGGTGCCTTTGAGCAGCGTGTATGTGCATGTGTAGCTGTCATGGAAAGTTGCTCTTTTTTTGCCATGTCTTGCAGCAGGGAAGAAGGAAGGTGGGTTTTACCTAAGGAAATAGGGCTGAGATATAGAGTCAGAGCAAATTTTTATAGCCTTTTTATGTTGCCAGAATTTGTGTGTAGACTGTTTTCCAAACTCTATGAAAAATCGGGAGACTTATTAGTGAAATTCCTGACTTACCATATATGAGGGCAGTAGCTCATTTGTATTATCCACATTGACAAGTCTGGTTTCTGTGTTCTAGAAAACAGAAGGTAACTGATTAAACGTGAAATTTTCAAGGGACAGTGAGAAAAACTTAACAGCTTTGATTTCAATAGACAGAGTTTGGTTGGTGGATTTGTATAGTGAAGAAGAACTCCATGTAAGAGCAAGCAAACACACTGTTAGGAATACTGAAGGACTAGGAAACATTAGCAAACACATGAACTTATACCATGGCATTGGAATTACTAGATCTAATTAGGCCTGGAAACCTGAAATGGTATAGTGACATCCAAATTCAAGCAAAACAAACCAGAACGTTTAAAATGTTTGCAGATTTATGGGTACCATAATGAGAAGACTCAGCATGTAACTTTTTCCTATATATCTACTGTCCAGCATGTATTACTCCAACTATGACTTCCTAAAAATACACACTTTACAGAAGATGTAGGTCCTCACCTCAAACCTTTCCACTGGTTGCTGTATTCTTTTAAGGTCAATGTAGTGTCTCCCCTCTACACAATCATAATTCTTAAATGTAATTCTTGTCCTATCAAGTATCCTATTTACGTTCTCTGAACAATGGCAGGAAATGTACTGGAGGAATCTTCCTATAAAGCTAGGAAGAATAGCAGTTATGCACAGAGGCCAGGCTTTTGAAGACAGTTTAAATCAGAATATAAGGAAAGTAACAGATACATTTAGCTTTTATATAAGGAATATTGCTTTCTGAGGAAGAGAACAACCACGTAAAGACACAAAATAAGAAGCTGTATTCATTATCACTGCTGATCCAACTTAATTATAAATACACCTGTCACTTCCAGGACCAAACAAGTCCCAAGCACAAAGCCTTATTTTCTTTGAAACAAATAATAAATAAAGAGGCTTCAACAAAAATGGGTCATGAGATCTTTTACGGGGAAGTGCCTGGAGGTTTTAAGGTGATATGTTTACTCAACCATAATGCAGCCGAAAGTCCACAGAAAATGCAATTGGTGGAAGTCACCGTTGCCCATCTCATTGATGATTTCATGATAGAATTTTAATCATGTTGTTTATGAAAATATAATCTGATATCAATCTCTAATAAAGTCCCTTCTCTATTTTCAGTGGTTGTCAGTCATTCCTCATACAGACACACCTTTATCCCCATCCTATCAGTAGGTACAAAGACCACTCCATTTGTCTTTAGTTTTCCCTCCACACTGTGCTTAGCAAATGTAAATGTGTTTTGGAAATTAACTTTGCTTCCTTAACAACTGAGTTCAAGAACAAGTTGAAAGTCTTACATTCCTTCTATTCATAAATCAGGAAAAAGCGTGGTTTAGAGCATAGGGCGAACATTTGTTTACTCTCTGGTTGCTTTGTAAATACATTAAAACCATAGAGAGAATCAATAATTACTGCCTTAAGTCTTAAAATACAAGAAGAAATATAAGCATATAACTATCCAATTTTACTTAAAAACATGAGTCAGTGTTGACGGTTGTTTTTCAGCTTTATTTCCAAGTATAGCAATTCTTTACTTTTCTAGTCTTTGTTCTACTTCCTGGATTCAATTCATCTATCACCTGTTTTTTTCTTTAACTTTAATAAGGATTTGCTTTTTGTTGCTTCCAAAACAATGCAAGAATATATTTCCAGGAAAGGACTCCAGCAGAGAACTTTAGGAGCCCTTATGTTTCAACTGAATGGTCTTAATTATGGAAACAAAATGCAGTGATTCTCACAAAGTGGCTTTTTGGTCAATATTCTTTACTTGATATTTTAGCTAGATGTTTGAGGCCTAGAAACAAATGGTGCTGAAGTTCCACCTGCTAACTTTGAGACCTTGTGCTTCAGGAGGCTGAGCACAGCAAGCCACCCTTTTCCTGATCATAGTAATAGTTTTGGTTTTGAATTACATATGCGAAATTCATAAAACATTTTTAGCCATTAAAAATTGGCACGGTGAATAGACACCCATGTAATATAGTGTGACTCTTTATGGACCTCATTCTACTTCAAACACCTATACGGAATAACTCTCCTGCCTAAGAAAATGGCGATCCTATTGCTAGGTATTTTTCCACAGTTGATGATTCTGTCATGCCACAGAGAAGTGTTGAGGGTATTGAAACAAGAGGAAGGGATGGAGTGAAACGTTGTTGTTGTGTTAACTTGCCTTTAGGTCCAATCTGGGATCCCTGGTTGCTTGGATAAGAAGCATGACTACTTCAACAGGGATTTGTGCTTTAAAACATCAAACCAGAAATAGAAAATCTACCCTTATACCCTGGTGTTTAGTATACAAAACCTTGCTTTTGGGAAGGCATTCCACGAAGTTGCTTGATTTCTTCTGCACAAGATGAGACACAGTCAAGCTAAAAAATTCCCTGCTCATTTTAATGCCATTAAAGGTTGGGTTTATTACTGCGTCATAGACTGTAAATAGCATTTTTTAAGCCAGAGTCACATTTAAAATTGTGGATTGTTCTACAAATATATATGTGTATATATACATATGCTTCTGAAATGAGGATATATTATATAAAGTTTTTATTTGATCTGTGGATTTTCATTAGGTAGTCAAAAATAAAGAGATTTGAATGCAAAACTTTATATATAAATGTATATTTATAATGATAGCAAAAATTGCCGCTTTATAAGAAAAAAGGAGTGAAATGGAAACAATACTAAAGCACATGCTCCTTAAGAATGTTGGTGATTTTTAATCCCCTCTGATGCAGGGATAATGCTTTAATGTCAAACATTTCTTAGAAAGCTCTAATTCCCAATAGAAATCTCAACCTGAGATTTGAGAAATAGGGAGAGGAAGTGAAATATTGATCTTTATCAGGACATTTTGGAGACCATATTTAAAACCAATATTTAAATCCAAATTGAGTGAAAATTGCTAATGTTCAGGGATGATATATTGAGCTTCAATGACAAATAAAAGGAGAAAATAGAATACCTAACATTATAACAGCATTAAAATCATGTAATGAGCTTGCATCATTAGTTTTACTAGCTGGAAACAAGGAGCTGTTGTTTCTTTGTCTTTGCTGCAAGCACAATTTAATGACAGCAGCATTCATTTTAAAATTGTTGAAAAATCTAAAATATATAGTCACAAGTACAATCATTATTAGCTCCATTTCAAGGTTAACTGTTATAATCTTAATAAATGATTGACACTCAACTGTTAATAAACATGTTATTTGAGAAACCAAGCAGATTAATATTTGTTTTCATTAAAGCACAGTTTATTTAAGTTTTTTTTTTGAGATCAGCGTTGTAAACTGTTTATAGACCTCAACCTTCCTGAAGTGAAAAGAAATTAAAATCTTGAGATCTCATGCATGTAGACTATCGGCACTTTTAAAAAAAATTAAACTTAACTGAGAAGTCTCTCTTTTTCTTTTAGTGTGTCTATGCTAAAATGTGTGGCTGAAAAAGTGTGTTGTGTACAGAAAGACATGGCTTTCCAGATGGGATGTCATTTCAATTTTATTCAACAGTCAAAGCTAAATAATGCTTTCAAATTGCAAAGCTACCTGTGGTGGCCTGACACATGCTCCTCTAGGGTCAAGAACTGGAGAACATAACCTTTATTTCATTATTCATCATCTTCTAGCTAGACACTTGGTTGAGCTGAAGGATGAAAAACTGATTATCTCTTATATCCAAGAAAACTAGACGATAAGTCGTAGAATGTCCATCAGAATGTGTCTCAGTGGTGTGTCCCTGAGAAGTTGGACACTGTGGATGATGCAGAGAGTCTAGAAAGAAGGGAATTCAGAAAGCAGAAAAGATAGTTGCTCTGTAGAAACCAAGATGAGAGAAAACAGTCTGATAGAAGAAATTATTTGAAAGAGAGCCATAAATGTGCAAAGTTTGGGAATAAAGCAAGGAAACCATACATAATATGCAAAAGAACTGAGCTGAGATTAATAAAACTTAAAAGTTACTCAAAATTTTGTCCGTGCAATCTCTGGAATTGAGTCTTTTATCTGGCAGGGTGTTTCTTGAACATTTATGTGGAACTCTTCAGCAAATGGGCAGTTCACAAAGAGGTTGCCAGTATCACCACTGGACGTAAGCTGTATTTAGTTTTCTTAGCTTTATTCACATTATCTATACCGTCTATCTTTAAAATCCCCTGAAAAAGAGAACATCTACTTGCATCTCACTGCCGCATATGTGTATACTTTAAAGAGCCACCTCGGACACGGATCTGAGATGTGGCAGGTGTCTGATATCACTACACAAAGGCTATTGTCCCCCAACATTATGAAATGCCTCCTGTAAAGAAGGCATTATGGGTCACTTGGGAAAGGATGAATAGGCACAGTCTTAAATAAAAGTGGTAAGTCTTAATTGCAGGATAGTTAAGACACTTGTGTAGCTGAGAATCAACAGAATGGATAAAAAACCCAACCATAAAGTTGGGATGCAGAATTTGCTTGAATATGAGAGAAAATGAATTTCCTTTAGTTAAAAAAGACCACAAATGGAACTACACTGAGAGAGGAAAAACATGCTACAAACCTAAAAGAGAGGGTTGGAAACTCTTGGCCAAAATAAGGACAAGTAACTTGTTTGACAGTGACGCAACACATTATATTTGTTCCTTTAGATGACCATCACACAAAGGAACTGCAAAGTGCAGGGTGGCTCTTCAGACGTTTGTACTATATTAACTCATCCAATACCTATCAAAGTACTTCTAATATTAGGTCATTGCAAAAGGCTCTAAATGTCATATCCAGCACTGATTCTAGATAGTCCCAGGTTATTAGGAACTTCAAAGTCATTCAGCCAGCACGCATGATATCCCTAATCTCTACAATATCCTATGTTTGAACACTCAAGATTAGAGAAAATATAATAAATTTCCATAACTCCATCTCCCAATTGTAGATCGTATTGGTTTTTTGTTTGATATTGACATCAAGTCCTCAAGCTACATTTTTTTTCTCGAAACTTCCTTTTATTTTCCATTAACTTTCAATTTTATATTTTTTTGCAGATGAGCTAATATGCTTATTAGAAAGCATGCATTCTCTAATCACAAGCTTCCATAAATAGTTTTTTAAATTTTGAAAATACTATTTATATTATCACATTTTTCTAGTTTTTGTGAGTTCATCTAAAATATAGTAAATCTTAATTACTATTCCACTATGTTTATATTTATCTTTGTGTTTTAGCACTGACTAGCCCTTATATTTTATTATCTTTAAAATTATGCTTATGCCCCAGAGAAGCTCACAAAAACATTCTAAAAAGAGGCCTTTAATGTATGAATTTCAAAGGCTATACAAGCTTTGCCCCTCTTAGTCAGTCCCATTTTCACTTCTTGCCTAACTTTTCTGCTCACTGTCTCAGTATTTGGTAGACCATTTATTTCTGATTTAGTTTATGATGTCATGAAGTTTACCATAAATGTCCTTTAGTTTATTATAATATCTAATAAATTCTCTGGAGTAATTCTTTTCTGTGTTGCTGATTTACCTTAGAATTCTAAACTTTCTAATCGATATACTTGGCACAGAACACGCCTGCACGACCATGAGAATATCAGTGTAAGTAAATTAGGAGGAGACATTGGAATGTAAAATCAATACAGAATTGGCAGATATTATCTAGAGAAATCAAAACCATTGAGAGCAAAGTCTGCATTAATTATTACTTTTTGAATGATATATCTTTCGTTCATAATTGCAAATAATTGTTCCAGTTCTGGGTACCATTTGCACATTTACACACAGAAAAAGTCAAAGGGATATAGGATGATACTTATGTCTCACTGAAAACAAAGAAAAAAAAGAAAGAAAATGGGATTGTGTTAATAGGGATGAGAACAACATTGACACTGGGTAAGAAATTGGAAGTCCATATCACAAGTTGTAATACTCCATTTTCCCTGAGCACATACTGATTCTACAGGCCCTCAACTGTACATGAATATTAAGATACAGTTCTCAGAGACTGAAGAAATATATCTACCTATAAGGTGCTTGGCACAGAAGCACAAGGGCCTCAGCTGATGCCATCTCCCATGTACAAGCCTTGACATGATGCTGCGTGCTTATAATCCCAGTGCTGGGGAGGGAGAGACGAA